CGTACGTCAACGATGTCAGACTTTAGGTTTCTCAGTTATAGATTTGGTCTAGATAACTTTGGCAACGTCAATCTCATCAAGTCTTTCAATTCAAAAAAAGGGTCAGGCAGTGTCTGACCTTGAAAAGCTCGGGCAAAAACCTTCACAAGGATTTTTGTCACGACAACGTGGTGCACCTACAACATGTGTGTCCTATCAACGGGCAACGGGATTGTTTCAACGTCATTGTACCCGTTGAATAGCCCTCGGGGCCCCGTTGAATCCCCGTTGAATAGTACAACGGACCCTCCCCATTGAATACTTTTCAACGGGGAGGGCGCATTGGGCCTCGGTATGGGACCGCGGCACGGGAGGAGTAGGAAGCTTTTCTTCTGGGCCGCAGGGGTTGACACCGAGCCAGGGGGCTGCTAGGCCAATACCGAGGTCACCCGGCCACCCGCGCATGCAACGCCACAAGCAGGCGAGGCTTGCAGGGCCGCAGGCAGACCGGGCCTGTAAGTCTACGGGCAGGCAGAGCCTGCAAGGCCGCGGCACGAGGCTAGCTGGTTGGGCAAGCTCTTCATATAGAAGAGCTGCTCCTACCACTGTTCTGATAGGAGCTAGCCCTGTAGGTTACAGCAGACAACTCTCACCCAGGAGATACCGGGATCGAACCTGACGTGCTAGCCTACTGGGCAAAGCTCCTTTTGGAGCAGCCCAAGGCAAACGGGCGCGACCGATCTCGGTCATGCGATCATCAAAATCTCGCGGTTGAGATCTGCCGCGCCGAGATTAGCATGGCCCCTAAGCAAGGATGACATGCATAAATCGATAAATAGTCCAAATTTTTTTTTTTGATCCCATTAGGGATCGAACTTGGATCTGTATTTCAACAGTTCGTGGAGGTACTGTGACCCCGACGTGACCGTTGGCTAGGCCAACAGAGTGCAAAAAAAAAAAAAAAAAAAAACTTAAAACTAAAACTATACTAAGAAGTGAAAGCGCCACGTGGCGCGTAAAGAAGTGCCTGGGGCATTTTAGCCCCAATGCACTTGACTGCGCCCGGCGAAATGGGCGGCCGTTTCTGCAAGAAGGTAAGTTCGTTTTTTTGTTTGTTTTCCTTTTCTCTTAGATTTTCGTTGTTCTTAGATTTTTTCTAGATTTGGTTTAGATTTTCTTTTGTTTTGTTTTATTTTTTTTGTAGATTCTTTAGTTCCTTTTTTTGTCTTATTTGGTTACGATTTTGCTGGGCACCCGTTYGTTTTGACGAACGGGTTGCTGCCGTAGGSAGGCAAAATCGAGTGGATCTGCCGCGATATCGTGGCTACGTTCGGGCGTGGGTTTTGGGACCTTGYACTCGGTTACGAGGGACTCTCTGGACGCGCCTTAGGCTGACAGCGACRGGCGACCGTAGAGAGAGAGAGAGAGAGAGAGAGAGAGAGAGAGAGAGAGAGAGAGAGAGAGAGAGAGAGAGAGAGAGAGAGAGAGAGAGAGAGAGAGAG